TTTAGCCAGGCCTTCATCGATCATTACGTCGAGTGCTTTCTCCTCCGCAGGTGACAGTGGGATCATTTTGCAAGCCTGCGGGGTTGCTCCTGGTACGAGATCGACGCGGAAGTCATATCTGCGGTGTGGAGGTAAGGTCATCGAATTTTTCTTTCGAAACATGTTGAGATAGCGGTGATAGTGGGTTGGTACTAATTCCTCAACTGGCTTTTCGGGTCGGCCTTTGGCGTCATCGGCAGCTAGTTTGGCGGACACGTTCCATGACGTTGTTGCGGACAGCTGTAGTCGTGCTGTTGTCGGACAATAGAAGCTTGTCAACTGGACCAAGGGGCAAGGTACTAATTCTGCTAGACTCACCTCGCGGGGGCTTAATCTCTCCAACGGAAAGAGCCCCCTCGCCATATTTCCTAGTGTTCCCCTTCCGGGCCTCAAGGCTATCTGGGGTGGTTTTCGGAGTAGGCGACACTTGGTCAGCAGTGGCGAGTGGTTGGTCATCTGGGTTGGTCGTGGTCTGTCCTATGAAAGGTAAGTTGTGTATCTGCTTGTCAACTGTTTCACGAAACAAGGGTGACTGTGCAATGTTGGACTCACATCGCGGGGGCGTAATATCAGTCATGCTGATGGCCCCCTCTTCACTTTCCCTAGTGTTCCCCTTCCGGGCCTCAAGGCGATCTGGGGTGGTTGGCGGGTTGGACGAAGCCCAATTGATGGCTGCGATGTGGCCAGGTGAGTCTTTAGGTCTTAATATACCGTTCTTCCAGTCAATACGGTGTCCATTCTCGCGTAGCCATGGCATACCGAGAATGGCGTCGTAGGAGTCCTTGATTTGGGTGACCAAAAATCTTGTCTTTGTCTCGTCGTCGTCAATGAACAGGTCGGCATCGTGGGCGAAGGTTCTCGGGGCTCCATCAAAGCCGTACACCTCTCCTGCTTTCTTTAAGCTGGTCAGAGGGAGTCCGGTGCAATCGGCAAATTTTTTGCCCAATACCACGTGAGTTGAACCGCAATCGATCAACGCACGGGCTGGGGTACTGTCTGGGTTGGGGGACGTGGCACAGGAGGCTTGGGAAAGTGATATGGATGTAAACACACGAGGGTCTAGGTTTGTCTTTGCATTTAACATCACAGCATCTGATTCCGCTAATAATTCCTCCTTACACAGGCCCGAGGGTGGCACGTCCGTCACTCTCGAGCGGCGCCATTTTTTGACAGATCTGCCGCCGAACTACCCGAATCTCTAGTCGTCAACTGATTTAAACCACCTTCCATAGCTGCAATCTTCGCCTCTAACTCTGCAAGCTTCCCCTTTCCACCACCTCTTCCTCTAAACCCATCACGATTACCATTGCCAACCTTGCACCACCGAGCACAATGACCAGACTTCCCACACTTGAAGCATAAATTATCCGTTGCTCTCCGTCGATACTCGTCTGATGATATGTCAAAGCGTGCCGACAAGATATCCATGGCATTTGGGTCTGACGGGCGAGATGACACGGCGGGCTCGGTATATTCTCCTCGTAGATCATTATCAATAGCACATGCGAGTTTTGTGATATCCTCTAGGGTGTCGAAGTTGTCGCGGATCATTGGTATGCGCACATTGCTCTTTAGACCTTGTCGATAATGGCTGATTAATGTCGGTAGTTCCCATTTAGTTGCAGGCGCCAATTGATTGAATTTGATTGTATACTCGGCAGCTGATTGGGTTTGCTTCAACGCACGAAGGGCAGTCTCGGCTCGTTTTTGCCAATCAGAGTCAAAGAAAACAGATTCAAAGGCGTGGGAAAATTCATTATAGGTGACTTCATTCTCAGTAGTTGGGTTTAGAATACGCTGCAAGAAAGGTTGAGCCCATTTGATGGCTTCCCCTGTTAGGTACGATATAGCAAACATGACCTTTGAGCTGTCGGTACGAAATAGTGCCGAGTTCATTGCGATGTAAATTCCAACCTGACTAGCGTAAGCTTCTGCGAGAGCTCCGCGAGTGCCTTCAAATTTGTCCGGGGTAGCGACTTTGATCATATGCGGGGTCGTGGTGGTGGTTGGGGCTGGTGCAGGTGGTGGGACTGTCGGTGTTGGTGCCGGTGACGTGGTGGTGGTGGTTGGTCGGTTGGCTTCAAGTTGGGCCAGGCGGGCTTCAGCTTGCTCACGTCGAGTAGTCTCTTCCGTGAGTTGCGCGGACAGTTTGTTCCGGCGTGCAGTTTCCTCAGCTAACCGAGTGTTTAATTCGGTCATCTGTTGGGCTAGGCGATTGATATCGTCGATGGTTGCCATTGGGTTACCGGTTACGACTTTGTGCCAGGACTCGCTCCTGAGAGATTCAGCGTCGTCCTTGGGGGGAGTTTGAAAGGACGGCGTGGTTGTGGTGGGATTGGTGGTAGATCAGAATGTGGATTTGATTTACTTTAACTTTAATAAACTTTCTTCTTCTTAACTTTAATAAACTTTCTTCTTCTTAACTTTAACTTTATTTTTCTTCGTTTTAAACTTTGTCACTATATTTCTTAATTTCAATTCTTTAATTAACTTCTTTTCTTCTTTTCTTCTTGATGTCCTCTCGGTCTGTTTCGGGTTAGATGCTACAATGTGTTGTGACCGGCTTCTGGGGTCGTGGACGGGAGGAACAGAGGGAGAGGGTGCCAATAAGGTGATATGATTATTGTAGCATGAGGAAGGGATCAATCTAGTAAAAGCTCTGATCTAGAGTGTGCTTGAGAGTCTCATCTGTCACATGCTGTGACACCTCAGTAATCCGTGATATAAGATCACAACACCTTCAATATGTGGATTTGTTTCTCAAAATGAATTGATGATCCACGCCTTCCTTCTTTTAAATACCTTTGCTCATTTCCGATTTCCTTGTGAGTCCTTCCTTTTTCTTCTATCGCTCTTCTGATCATATCACTAATCTACAAAATTAAAATCTTCTCATTAGGCTACTTCCACTTGGATCAAATACTGCATTTTTACTTCCTTTGGGGGTCTCTCCCTTTGCTTCTATCAAACGTACCATCATGAAACTGACCTATTTTTTGAAATCCTTGTTCAGTTTATTTTATATATTCTCCTTAGGCTACTTCTACTTGGATATCAATCACGAAAAGGATCAATCACGCAGTTCATTTCAAACCATATTGATCACAAAGAATTATATTTCATTTTAAGAGTTCATTGATTAGTTTCTACCAAAATATTGATCACAAGAACTCATTTTCAAACTGTATTCAAGTACAAGTTATTTTCAAAATTCATTCAGTAATTTTTCCAAGATCAACAATGAATGTTATACACTCCAACCACAATCTCATCTCGTCCGTTTTGCAATTTTCAGCTCTAGTTTGACGTCGATCCCGTTGTCTATTTGGATCTTTTCCTTGTGAGTATATTTTTGTTCCATATTTTTCTCATCACGTAACTGATGAATATACCATTATTATTTGTGTAAGTCTTCTTTCTAACCAGTGATACTCCTACCCTATACGTATCTCACCGGCTCAATGGCGTCGGATCTTGCACCATCCAGTTCAGCATCTAGCACTGCAGATGGCAATATTGATCCAAACCCGCCACCTTCACTGATCACGCCTTGCACTCCAGGAGGTAAGATTTGAATCATTAGATTGCTTCATACACTTTTGCTGACCTCAGGTGCTGTTGCCAGCTACGTACCCTGGGCCATCCACTTCTAGACTTGGATCGGCCTACCAAACTGCTTATCAAACGCCCGGTGGTAAGCCTTCAACCTCCTTAATGATGTAACTTGACATCCAATCCTTTATATTAATAAGACCTCCTTTCTGTTCCAACCTTCTGCCTTGTATCAGCCCAGTCCCTCTCTTTCAAACAGCCAATCAATCTTGATGCACGGGGAAGTCATGTGGATTGATATGAAAGAACACAAGGCCAATCTTATTCCACGGCGCAATTGGCTCAAAACACAACTTGAGGAAAAGAACCCCACTAGGCTGTTGCCTCCTACGAAATGCACACATTGTGGGACTGGTCCATGGAAAAGGAAGTGCACGCTCTTTATGAAGATACAATTCCTAGAAAGTGCAATTATGTGAAAAGAGATGACCTATAGAGAACTCTCAAACCCAATCAGGTTAAATGATCTAAAACTTTATGACCTTCAGAGAAAGGATGAGTCACAGCTCAGTTCCTGATATTCTCAGATCACATCCTGAATGAGAGCTATATAGCAAGCTACTCGTACTTGGCTTTGTTCTCTCGTTCATTTATTTATTTCACTAATCCTATCATCATCTCCTTATTTTCCATCTCCTAATCAGCAATCCAATCTAGAGTCTTACTACTCCAAATAGTTATCTATTATTTTGAACCTCCCACCCGCCCCCATGGACATGTTAGGTTTTGCGCAACTGAGAGCAGAGTTCACACAAGTAGTTTGAACTCTCTCCTAGAAAACCTACAAAGCACGTTTCTATTTTACTCCAGGTTTCAGGGAAAGAGAAGCTTCCCCTGAAGCCTACCGCCCACTTCTACTTCCTTACCTCACTTAGTAGAAACTAAGCAAGGTAAGGAATAACTTTATTAAGAAATGTAAGAGTTACTATTTGAGAATGGACTTTTTGACATGTTTCAACAAGCTGGTAAACGAGTTGAAGAACAGCTATTCAGTGAGTATTTGGTCTCTGGGTTTTCAAGAATTATATATATATATAGATATTCATTGAATTTTCTGCCCTCATCCAGGCATCTGGAACGGCACGTTTGAGAACGATCCTCAATCATTGGTTCAGGTCCGTCCTGGGACACAAACAGCCTTGGCTGATTCTTTGAGTACTCTGCCAAACACATTGCCTAACACTTCAACCAAGGCTCAGCCCTTCACAAATCCCGCGGTGAGATCGTTACCTCCGCCTTTGTTCAATGGCCCCTCACAACCTTCACCCTTGGCCTCACCTCCACAAGAGATAGAAGATCCTGATCCCCTCCAATTGGAAACCGAGGATCCTCCCCCTGCTCAACGTACTATGACTCCTCGACCAGAAACTCAACCAGCTCCTATGAACTCAGAGGTAGCTCCTCCTATCATTCACGCCAGCTCACCTTTAATTGAAACTTCCACTGATCAACACCCTATTGAAGAAGCCAGTAATGTTGTCCCTTCAGCCAATCGTGTTTCAAAGTGCAAACGGCTTTCAAGTCCAACACCTTCTGGTGACCGAATCCAATGTTTGTCCAATAGGCAATCCTCTCCCTTGGCATCATCGACCAGAAACTCAACCAGCTCCTATGAACTCAGAGGTAGCTCCTCCTATCATTCACGCCAGCTCACCTTTAATTGAAACTTCCACTGATCAACACCCTATTGAAGAAGCCGGTAATGTTGTCCCTTCAGCCAATCGTGTTTCAAAGCGCAAACGGCTTTCAAGTCCAACACCTTCTGGTGACCAAATCCAATGTTCGTCCAATAGGAAATCCTCTCCCGTGGCATCAGCACCTGAGGATCTTTCTGTTGGAACATCCAAGAAGAAACCGAATTCCCCGGACGCCATTGGAACTTCCCCAGCCCCTTCGAAGCAAACTAGGCGTTCTGGACCAAAACTCCTGAACTTTGACCCAGGCTACCTCGAGAGGCTAAGCAAAAAGGTGAAGCTTCTCGGAATGCCTCCCAGGCCATCACAGCATCGGAAGCTTGTCAACCTAGTCCAACCCCCCGGCGGTCACCTCCTGCTCCAATGGTACCATTGATTACGCCGCGCTCGCCACCACCTCAATACACTGAAACTCCTGTCACCGCACCCCAAGCTAATGCAATCTACAGTAAGCTTTCAAACGAGATCATGGAACACTGTTGGATATATTCTAGCTTACCTCTCATGAAAAACAACTCCTCAGATTGGTTTTTCACATTTTTCAACAAACCCTTCTCCTTCCCACCTTCACACAAGCCTCTTCCTAAACCTCTTGCTGAACTTGCGATGGCTGCGTGGGATGAAGCTATGCCACCAACACGCTTTCGTGAGTTTATGCGCACAGGTTTGGACGCCTTCCAGCTCTCCTTTGCGTGGTTCAACAAACTACGGTCAAACCCTCGGTCGACTCCCTCTGACACAATGGCCATGATGGAGCGAATTGAGGCTTTTCTCTTGTTAATCAAGATGGCACAGCGTCCCCTGCCAAAGATTACACCTCTGCTTACAACTCACCCTGCAACACAACCACAGCCATCTATGCCTGTTCAGACCACCTGTCGTCCTGGTCCTTCCAATCCGGTGTTAGTGCCATCAATGATCCCTCGCGTGTTGGAACTTGTGTTATCTCGCATCGAATCTCTAGCATCCAAAGACTCTGGGATACCTGTTGGTGAGCCTGGCAGTGATTTCCATCATTTCTTTCGGACACACTTCAAACTTCCCGAGCCTTACACCTTGGAAACGGTCTGGCCCAAATTGGCAGTACTCCTTGATGGAGTCATAGGCGCGGACGTCCTACCTTGAACCCTTTGCCGAGGGTGCTATGGTATTGATGGGCTTTTCCAGCTTGGCTAGTCGGTTCTCGTGCCTTCAAAGGCTGGACACCTGCATGCGACTCAGGCATCACTTCCTAGAATGCAATCTTTTTCAAGATTAGATTTTAATTGGAAGAATTTTACTCAAGCGGAACAATTTTGAAAAATGTTGATCAAAAATCAAAGAAGAGAAATTGCTTCAGCACAATGTCACGTCTGTGGATCGGTTCAAAGAGGTGATTTGATGGCGGTTTAGAACCCAATACTGGTAAGTTTAATTTACTTTATACTATATGTGTTTTTAGTTTATGTAGTTTGCAGTCCTAATGAACTTATTTTTTCAAATAGAATCTTTGAATGCATCATATGTTCATGAAACTCAAATAATTTTTTTACTTCGACTTGCTGCTACTAGGGCTGGAGGAGCAAAATCAATTGAAGCTAAAATCTTGGCTCAATTATGATAATGTAATCATTTTGGTTGCTTTTCTCAAGCACAACTTACTGATCCTGGTATGTAGAGTTTCAGAATGTTTGATTGCAATTGCTCATATAATTAAATTGTAAAGATCATTGATTTTCATACTGATGACTATATGTGCATGCTATAGATCTCAATGATGAGAATATTGTTGGATATAGTGGGAAATGATCTTGACCTCGTGATTGTTGAATGAGACTTATCAAATTGGATGTCAAACTTCAAAACACATTATTTTGGGACATCAAAACCCGGCTAACCAGGTCATTGACCACAATCGAGTGGATTGATACTAACGCTAGGGTTTACTCCAAAGATACCATTGATTTGCTTTACAGCACATATGACTATGAATTCCGGATTTTACCTAAAATCTGTACTATCTCTATCAAAGGTATCTCAGCTGGTGTGTTAGGAATGGAGTTTCAAGATTGATGGTAAACCATTGCTACTTGATAGGATGACGTCCCATGTGTGGAGATGGTGAACTACGTAAGAACAGTGGAATTCGGTGGAATTGAGAAGATGTGGATGTCAAGCAGACCTAAAAACTTATATCAAAGCTGATGATCAAGACATCAAACATCACATGCAAGTTTCAATCCTTCATACCTTATTTCTTTAGACCTGACAGAGACTGAAACCAAACTTTTGAAAACATTCAAATACTGTTCACCGATGAAAGTGTGAATTTGTTGAAATATTTCCATATTAATGGTACTGGAGCACAATTATTGGCCAAGTAAGCAACTTTGCTCTCATTGGTTTTTCCCACAAGTCAAAAGGCTGATGAGAGTTACTAGCTTTTCTTGATGTCAGATGGAGATCAGACACCCAGCAAATCAAACAGATTCACTGGACCTTCTGATTCAACTGTAATCCCATCTTCAGCTCAAGCAGCTGTTTTGATTTAAATCCTACCAGATCAATCACTTCAAGAAATCTCAAGTTCACTTGTTAGTTTTTTAGAAACCACATTTGAGAATTTGAACTCAAAAATTGTCTAGACAAATTTCTTGTGACAAGCTCAAAAGTGGTCAACCTTATCATTCACTCATTTTATCAGCAAAATTGTATTAGCAGAATTGAGCTTTTTCAATGTTCATTTTTCTTTTTCAATAAATGATTTCAGTCAATATTCTCTACAGGTACCAGATGAATCTACAAGCAAGGCTATATTCATCAGCCCAAACAATCAAATCAAAATCTATCTCAAAATTGATGATCAAGTCAAATCAAGACGTTTCTGTACGCACCTTGAATAAATTTGATGATCCGTTCCATACCACTTCCTTATACCTTTACAAATCAATTTAAATCATTTGATGAACCAAGATTATTCCTCATGTAAAACGACAAACATCTCTATGTCATAGGTTAATCCTGGGATAGATTGAAAAGCTTAATTCTCCACCTTGATTGAGAATGTTGAGAATCAACTGGAAGACTTTCATTGTGATCAGATCCTTTCAGTAGACTCAGTCTTGATGACATTGTTGTGTTTGGATGATGAGAATAGTACAGTTCTTTGGGGAAATTTCGAGTTAATTGGCATGTACACGTTTTCCTTCAATCTTACCAAACACTGTAAGCTTTAAGATACTTGCCATACTATGTTTATCACTTTTTAAGTATTGTATTGTCCAGATATATTCAAGAATTTGACTGTATATCTCAATTTTGTGGGACTTCTCTGCTGAAATCTATTTTCCAGGTTGAGGTCACCAAGGGGAGCACCTGCGGCCAAAGTGTTGGTATATATGTATGTAAATGAAATTATGGTTTTGTCACACTTTTGGGATTGTGATGTGTTTTGGTTATGTGTGAAATTGCGGGGAAAAGTGGCAGTAATAATTCCATCTTTGATTTGAAAAATGCCATGAATTTTTTACTACTAACCTAACCCAAAATTTTATCTCTGATTTGAAAACTGCCTTTGGATACATTACATGCTGTGTCACATGAATCCACTTTATTTACATGATGGCCAAAAGACAATTGAATAACAATATTCCCCTGATTGTTGGAGGGTAACAATTTCTTTGGTTCTGCCCACCCCAGTCCAGCACCTCCAATCAATTTCTCACTACTAACCAAACTTACAACTTTGTCTGTAATTTCAAGATATACGTGTATATCATCACAATCACAAGACTTGAATGCCTCTTATTACACAACATGCTCTGTTCACACTATGTAATCTGTTGTATGTACATTGTGTAAAATTCCATGTTAACATTAATCCCATGTATGTACATCATCTAAGTACATGGGATTAATATGAATCACGTGGAAGTAGGTTCAATATTTATTTCATTTGTAATTTCAAGATACATGTGTAGGCCATCACAATCACAAGACTTGAATGCCTCTTATTACATCAAATTCTCTATTCACACTAATCCATTGTACGTACATTGTGTACAATTCCGTGTACATGTGAACCGCTTGCATGTACATCATGTACATACATGGTATTGGATGTATATACATCATGTACATACATGGTATTAATGTGAATCTGGTGTAAGTGGGGTAATAGTTGATTTAGTACCCAACACCCCCACCTCCAATGGGTTCCTTGTTGCCAAACAAATCTAGTTCCATCTTCAATCTCAAAATATATAGGTACACCATGACAGACCTTGAAAAAAGTATTCCCCAATAAAAAAAGGTCACAAAAACCCAAAGGTCCAACAATTAAAGAAAATCCCCTGGTGCAAGTAGGGTAACAGTATTTCAAGTACCTAAAACCCCCACCTCCAATGGAATTCTTACTACTAACCTAACCCAAAATTTCATATCTGATTTGACAATTGCCTTGGGATACATTACATGCTGTGTTGCATCATGGATCCCCTGTATGTACATGATGGCCAAAAAAACAATTGTACAAAATTAATACTTTGATTGTAGGAGGGTAGCAATTTCTTTGGTTCCCCGCCCCAACTCCAGCACCCCTGATCAACTTCTCACTACCAACCAAACCTACAATTTTATCTGTCATTTCAAGATGTATGTGTGTGCCATCACAATCACAAGACTTGAATGCCTCTTATTTCATTACATGTATTGTTCACACTAAGCTGTTGTATGTAAAATGTCTACAATTCCGTGTTCACATTGATAAAATGGGTAATTATTCAAATTGGTTTTCTTCATTTGGTTTATTTTTGCTCATCTGTTTTTTGAAAATTCCTCTTTTCAAGATACCTATTTATCCCTGATGTGATAGAATTTGTATTCAAATCGAATGAATCATACATGAACTCTCCAAGCAATATTTCATTTTTCTTCCTTAATGTGGCCCAATAAGCCTATGAAAGGGTTAGGGTTTCCATACACTAATCTTGTGTATGTACATTGTGTACAATCCCATGTTCACATTAATTCCATGCATGTACATCATTTACGTACATGTGATTAATTTGAGTCTGGTGTGAGTAGGGTAACAGTATTTCTAGCGCCCAACACCCCCACCTCCAAGGAATTTCTTACTGCTGAACAAACCTAGAGTTCCATCTTCAATTTCCAAATATATAACTACCCCATGACAACCCTTGTATGCCCTTGTAAATTTCATCTTTGATTCGAAAATTGCCTTTGGATTCATTACATTCCATGTCACATTGATCCCCTGTATTTACATGATGACCAAACAAAATAAATGTATAACAAGAGTCCTCTGATTGTAGGGGGGTAACAATGGTAACAATTTCTTTGATTTCCCACCCCAACTCCAGCACCTCTAATCAATCCTCACTGCTAACCAAAATTGCTTACAACTTTGTCTGCAATTTCAAGACATATGTGTATACCATCACAATCACAAGACTTGAATGCCTCTTATTACTTGACATGCTCTGTTCACACCAATCTGTTGTACGTAAAATGTCTACAATTCCTTGTTCACATTGAACCCATGTATGTACATCACACCTCTAATCAATCTCTCACTATCAACCAAGCCTGTGTACTTTTCTTGTTACTTGAAGAACATGGATGTTTATTTAAATTAGTTTTCTCCATTTAATTTTTTTTGCTCATCTTTGTTTTGCAAATTCCTCCTCTCAAGATCAAAGTGAAATCTCCGTACAAACCTTTCTCTTAGATGTTGTAAGAACTAAACTATCAGCATTGCTATCACTATTTTCAATATCAGAGTATTACCTCCTTTAGTATTTCTAGAAGGAAAGGAGCATTCAACCAGAAACCACATTCAATTGTTTCAGCTTCAGGTGTTATAAAAACTCATCAAACTGACCACATAAGATGCATCCTTGTAATGATACGTTTGTAGAAAATTTTGTTGTCCTTGAGGTGTAGCTGCATGAGTTTCGGCTGCAAATTTCATATCATCAGCTAATCTTTCAGGTTCAGGTACAGCTCTTTGGCGTCCTAATGGTTCTTGTTTTATATCATGTCCGATCAAATTAAAGATTAATTCAAAATGACGAGAAAGATTCAAAAAGTTGAATGATTTACTCATGCAGAACATCTTTCTTTCTTAATATCAATGCCCCAAACTTTGCTTCTGGATCTAATCCATCAGTATCATACACATCAGGAACACCTTCCTCAATTTCCTCGGATGATTCTACCTTCAAATAAACCCATCTTGATGTCTTATCAATTTGATTTCTATGCTTCTTCTATTGAAGTTCGTTTTGCAAGGTTGTGATCAATTCAAGTGTTGTATAAAGTGGTAACAGATTAGCTGACATTAGGTGGCAGATACTATGACCACAAGTGATGAGATTGAAAGCAAATGAAAAGCGGCTCACAAAATGAAAGGTGATTTTTTGAGCGTCTTCAGGATTGTGCTTGATTGTCAAGTCTGCTAAATATTCAAGGACGTCAGGATCAACTCCATGAAATTGGACAACTGTTTGTCATCTGATATGTGGACATGACGTTTAAAGCGCGATGTGACAACATCAGTAGGGTGTAATTAATCACAAATGAGTGATTGATGTGAATACATACAGCCCGTAGCCAGAGACCAAGGATCTTTTTGAGGAACTCGACTTGTTTTTTGGAAATACTTTGACGTTTAACAGAACAGAGTATTTTCATATAGCAGTATCTTTTCAAAATCAATCTAGGGAGAAAAATTTTGAACGGGGAGGAATGTGAGAAGAAAAAAGGCGTGCATACGTTTTTGCCGAGTGATCTCAACATCATCACATGAGCTTAGCAAAATCGAACTTGGAGAGCCAAGTAGCTAAAACTGTGTGTTATGTGAAATCCTAAGAAGAATACAAAATTGAATGATAACAATCAAACTCATGATTTGTCCAATCACTTGGCAGCAAAAGCACTTACGTGATGGACACTGAAATCACTAAATTCACTTGTTCTCACTCCAAGTTGAAACACACCACTATTCTAAAGCTGCTACCTGAAGCCTGGGGATTTCTTTGACCTGTACCAGTTTTTGTTGGTATTTAACCATGTCAGCAGCAACATTTGTGTAGGAAACATCATCAGCCTTGGCCTTGACTGCCACACCCGTCTTCCTCTCGACAGGCTCATCCCTCCCAACATATGGCCATTGTTTGGTGGGGGCGTACGCTACAACTTGGCGTTTGAATTCCTGTAACAATGAGAGTAGATGGTTACTGTGCCCATGAAGCTCAAGAGCATGAGATGTAACATTGTCCTCTTTTACTGTAGCCTGGACGCCATTGCCTTGCTTCTCTGAAGACCATTTATCTTATACCAAGACCTGCTTGTAGTCTGAAATGTTTGACTGAAATAATGTATTAAAGACATCTTTACCTCACCACCTTCTTGCTAAACTGTGTACCTTGTTTATCAACTCTCTTCTCATCTTGCCAGTCATCCCTTGCATTCTAGCTCTTTTTTATACTTCACCTCAATTACAACCCAATGTCGCAGTCAATGGTTACCATATACAAATGCTTTAGCTCACCTCAACACCTGGTGATCAAGTCTAAAACTCTCAAAGTCCAAGTCCAAATGCAAGGTGACAGTCTCAACATCAATGGACTGAAGCAAGTCTTAATCACAGAAAATCATCCAGCAGTTGACACCTCCTGTATGACACTCCTCATTGCAGATGGTTGGTCAAATTTCTCTTTTTGTCTTTGTATCAGCTTTTAAACTCTTTTTGGTCTACTTGAATTTTTCCCCAATTTTTTCAAACAGGTGCGGGCCAAATACTATTGAATTCCATGATGGCTTCTACCCTGCCCAATAATTGTAATATATTAGCTCTGTTTTCTCAAAATGTGGAAGAAGCCACCTATCTTCAATCAAAGAACGGTATCAACTTACCTTCAATACTCTTTGTCTACCAAACAGGATCACTCAGAACCTTCATTAAACTGCCCAGGGACTTGCCATCAATTTGTTCTGGGGTATGGTCAGCCTTGAACCTTACTTGAAAAGTAAACTTGGATGAATTAGTAGAATATTCCACTCAGATTGGGTTTCACAACGAATTAGTTGTCAAAGAATCCTTCTATCATGACTCATTACTGAGTCATTACTTTTCTGGCCCTTCTCCCAAGGTACCCACTAATCATAAAGGTCACCTTGCCCCTCAGGTCATGTTTAGGCTTTGGCATGCTGCTCAGTTTGAAGAAATGATAGCTCACCAGAATCTCCATTGTAATGGCCCTGTATCTGAATTCAAGGTAAGTTTGCCTTGATTTTTCAAATGTTAAGTTCCATTCACTGACATATACACCCTCACCCTTCTGGCCTTGTATACCCCAGGTGTATAGTGCTTCATGCTCCTCCACAGGCTCGGATTCAAGTACATCCACCATTCAAGCTGGACCACATCAATTCTCACATTCAGCTTCTACAACAGTCCAGTGAGGCATAATGGGGAGTCCTTCTGAACATGATTCCGCCTACGACAAAGGATTCAGACACCACATTAACCAAATTGCTGGAGGTATCACAGAAGCTAGAAGTTGCTGTGATAATGCTAGCAGTCGTGGTAACAATGTCAGCAATGTGATTCGCAGTCAAATCAGCATCCTCATAGCAGTCAGTCTCTTTTCCCCCAAATCTATTCTCTCATCAAACTGAATTCTATGCATTAATCTACAGAAAGTTGAAACATTAACTGAACAGAGAGACCAAATGATAGGAGAAAGTCAAAGATTACAAGAAATCCAACATTCAAACCAGGCAACTGAATTTGGAAGAGAAATATTTTCACTCACAAATCAATTAAACATCTTGAACCGAGAGAATGAGGTTCTGAAGGAAGAGATTCAGAAAGAAGCCAAAACTGTTCAGGCTTTATCTCAAAGTATTGCGGTTTTAAAATCTATGAATCATTCAATACAAGCTGAAATCAAATCGGAAGTCCAAATTGTAAGTTTTATTTTTTATTTCTCAAATAATCATAGAAAATCCTCACAATATTATCCCCGTTCTCAATGTTGGTTTACAATCTTCCAGATTCAAGAGACCTTGTCTGGAGTCATATCATGCCAGATTTGTTGTGAAACATACGGGTCTTTGTCCACCAATGAAAATAGAAGGCCCATCCATTTGTTGTGTGGCCATATCTTCTGTGCTACTTGTTTAGATACAGACTGGAAGTTTTGCCTCAATTCTGGAAACCCTGATCCTTACTGCTGCTTCAACCGTTGGGATGTTGATCCAAGTAGACTTGGTGAGGTTTATTTGCTGGAAGATGTAAAAGAAGTCTTGGCCAAAATAAGCACCATGTAAATATACCTATGATCTCTCATCAGCCATTTTTCATGCTCCGTTGTTATTCACTCAAAGTGTTCTTCCGTGTGTTTACAAACTTACTTGTCAATTCCCTTTTGTCTTTTTGCCTGCTTTGAGGGGTTTGTATATAACAGGTAAAATTAGTCACCTTTCTTTCTGCTTTTCTGAATTGCTTTTAGGTTGTGCGCCCCCGCTCTTTGATGTTTCACTTTTTACTTGAACATAGGCGGGCTAGCCTGTCTTTGATTTTGATAAGCTCGAAAGCATAACAAGTACAAGCTCAAGGACTCTAACAATCAAATGAATGAAATGTGCTCTATTTTATGAATCTTGAGTCTCTGTGTAAGGTTGATGCTTGATGCTAAGACAGTCCATGCACGTGATCATCACTGAATAGCCTGCTTGTTCCAGCATTGCATATTCAAACTGATTGCTAAGAAAGCAACATGTAAAAAATTACATGTTACAAATGAAACACAGATATAGATACCGTCAATTTAAATGGAAATGAATTGTAGAGCTAGAGGGAAGTGTATAATGTGACAGTGGGAAAAGTCAAAAAGGAAAATGAATCAAATGTTCAAATTGAGTGCAACTTAAGAGAGTGGCTCACACACACAGCCAAAAGGTGATGTGCAAGTTAATTGAAGGACACATGTTACAGCTGAGATTGAACATCACTGCCAGGGCAATTGTAACTGAATGCATTAACTGTAGGTTGCCATACATATTGTGAATTGCTGTCAAATTTAATCTGAGAAAGATTTTACAGGCTGATATAGTTTGTAAAGACAAAAAATAAAAACAACAGCAGAGAGTGTAATAATTCAAGTAAACTGGATTTTATAATGAGGGAGTACCTCAAGTATTGACAAGATTGACTGAGGGAATGATTGGGGATAGTAAAAAATATATCTACTCTCATGATAACAACAAATGATTGAACGTCTTGACAGAACGGCTGATAGAGATGTTCAGGTTTCAAATTCCACCATATTTCAAATACTGGTACATTGAATGTGCAAGTAATAGTATGTTCCTGAGGGTGATGGAGATGGTGGTGTTAAATGTGATGAGCTTGACACTATTGGTCTTGGTAATCTATTTTTACAATTATTTATTGATGAAGTTGAAGAGCATGGTAAGATATGATCTATTTGGTTTGACAGAAGATTGTCTTGATGATTGGATATTTCTTTTCAATTTGTATTTGATTTGGATGATGATGCTGTGAGATTAATGCTGAGCTTGATGAATTTGTTCAATTATTTGATTTTCTTGTATCTATCGGGAGTGATAATAGGAACTAAGTGGAAGTTGAACCTGAAAAGATAAAAAAAGAGATCAATTAGTGATTTAAAGTGATGTTATAATGATGCTGTTCTTCTTTGAGACTGACTCAATGAGTTATTTTGAATTGGAATTGAATCAGACGTGAGCATATTGGATTGAGTCTAGTTGTGTGGTCATTTACTTTAGAAGGTTTGCTTGTTTTCTCCTTTGTTGGTTCGTTTACTTCGAGTACATGGTCAGGAAAAGCGCTATGGAAACCCACTTGTGCAACTGCTGTCTAAAATTACGAAATATGGTTTTCCAAGAATAATTAAGTGGTTGCTTTTGAAATTTCTTTTTGAGTTGGCTTGTTGATAGATCTTGGGTATCATGACGTAATGTTCTATTGATCCTGTCCTGCCATCCCGGCGGTCAGAAAACAAACCCATGCCAACCGGCTTGGAGAAAACAGGGGGAAAATAGACCTAGTCCGGGAAATCTAATTTGCTATGAGTTACAATTAGTCATAAACCGTGCTCTTCAAAACTTGTTCAAAGAATGACACAGATATCCTACCAGACAATTCCAACTGACTACCCTGAATAATCTTGACAGTGTTGGCTTCCAAATCTATTCCACATATCACCTTCACCCTTGATGCTGCCCAGAAGAAAGCAACCCAAAAAGTGTGTGTGTCTATGTGTAACGAGTGGGTGTGGTCCAAAAACACACGCTGCTCTCAATGGAAGGATGGAGCCAGGGGTGGAAATTTCTGAAAGCACATTTGCCCAACATGCTCGGATTGATCTATTGCCAACCATACCTGTGCATCCCCTTGAACGCGACACCAATGACCCTGCAACTTCAAGTATGCATGAGCGGCCTGCTGTGCAATTGAGCTCAACCTCTGTTTTTGAGTTGGATTTGAAATAAAAAAAAAGACATGATTTGTTTCTTGTAGAGATATTATTCTGGCCTCTAATTCAGATGGTGATCATGCTGATCTGGGAGTTGACCAAGAGGAACCAGGGTTCCCCAGTGTAGCAAATGCAAAACTTTATAATTGTGGTAAGTGACATTGGTGGTGGATACTTTCCAATAAGGGCCAATGGCTGAGTCTATTGCATTTGTTCAAGATCTCTTCTTTAGTCTTACAAATTCAAACTCCCATCCACTGCTATTGCATGTAGTCCTCACCGCTTGTATGCTTTCAATATTAGAACAGAACAGTCAAAGGACAATGTCATGGCTTCTTCAATCAATGGTCTCATTTTTGTTGCTGGCTTTAGATGGTCACCTTTCATTGACTATGCGACTTGCTGTCTCAAAAATTCCCCAAGATATCCAAACTGCTTGTCGATGGCTTAACATTAACCCAAGGATTGCAAAAATGACTTGCTGTGCCAGGTGCTTCACCTTGTACAATATTGATAAGACTCCGCCAACCTGTACCCAGCACGCAGGCACTAGCCACCTTGGAACAGCTGGAGCCAAAGTATTTATTGAAGGCACCAATGGCGAGGAGGGGTCGGGTTCTGAAGATATCAATACTAAAGAAGATCTATGCAATGAACCTCTGTTAAAAGGGGACTCAATCCCAATCAGAACATACACTTTTCAAGACTTTGAAGATTGGATTGGAAGGCTTCTGAGCCGACCAGATATTGAAGATCACTTGGACACAACTCTCATTCAATGACGGAAACCCTATGACAGCAGCCTTCCAGTCACTGACATTCAGGAGTTATTGGGGCCCGATGGCAAACAATTCACAGCATCCAGCGGTCATCTGACGTTTGGGATGTTCCCAGATGGCATCAATCCCTACGGTAACAAGCAATCAGGGAAACACACATCCATTACATGTTATGTACTTGTTTGTTTAACACTACCTTGGAAGATACGAAATTTACCTGAAAATATCTTCGTTGCTTGAATTGCCCCCGGTCCTACTGAACCCAAAACTGAACAGGTCAACTCAATGCTCAGGCCTCTAGTCCGACAACTTTTAACTCTCTGGAAAGATGGGTTGTTTCTATCTCAAACTTACCGGCACCCTCAAGGTAGAGTGGTTTGAGCAGCGCTACTTACTTTTGTGACGGATCTCATTGCACTGCGTTGAACATTGGGTTTTCTTGGGGTCACTTCAAAAATTATGTGCTCCTTTTGTTTTCTAGGATCTTCTGATAAATCAAATTTTGACCCTGAAAGCTGACCAAGACGATCGTTGGAGGAGCATTGAAAGTGGTCCATAATAGCCCGTGACACAACCGATCCAACCTTACGCAAAAAAAATCATGAAGGAGCATGGCCTCAGGTATTGTGTCCTGATAAAGCTCCCTTACTGGAACATCATTGAGTATGACGTAGTCGACTCCATGCACAACTTACTACTTGGCCTATTGCACTGGCACTGTTGACATGCTTGAGCAATGGAAGATGTTGACGACTCAGAGGACAAAGAAGAACATCGACCTCCTTGTAAAATTCCACGCACAGAGGTTGAAGATCTTAGAGCTGACACAACAAGGATATGGAACACACCTTAATTTCCGGCATCCTGGAATTGGGACGACGACCAAGACGGAAATCAAAACAGCTCAGAGGTTGGATTTTTGGATATGCTATGTGGATCAAGTGCTTCATCTGATGATGAAGATTTTGAACCACCTGAAAAACCACTGGACGGTGGTTGGGCTGGCCAATGGGTACCACCAGCACTCAATAAAATAATCTTCGACTCAGCCGTACTCAATCACTTGAACCACATGCTCCCTCAAATTGAACTGCCGTCTTGGATCAAGCAAGGGATTTCAAAACTAGGAAAAGCCTCATTTGGAAGCCTGAAGGCTGATGAGTGGCGGACATTGTTCACCATTCAACTGGTCTTGATATTAATACCCCTTTGGGGCAATGGGGACCAAGTGAAGGAGTCACTTTCAAAAAACTTTGGCCACTTGGTTAGCCTTGTCAATCTAGCACTGAAACAAGTCATGACCAATGATTGGATTGGGAATTACACGTCACACCTTCAACAGTATTTGGAAGGTGTTGTCACACTTTTCAAACATGTGGAGCTGCGGCCAAATCATCATATGGCATTTCATCTAGCTGAATGCCTTGAAAGATATGGGCCAGTACGGGCATGGTGGAGCTGTCCTTTTGAGAGACTTATGGGTACCATTCTCAAAGCATGCAACAAAAATCGGTTAGGTATGTGATAATTTCCCAATACAATTGTGAGTTTAACACTGACAAAAGTTTTGATTACCTCCAGGTGAACTAGAACTTACGTTTCTAAACGCATTTTGTCAGGGCAGAAACCTACGGGCACTGCTAGAGTGGAACAATGTACCTCAACAGCTCAAACCTTTTTTGCCCCAGCTTTGGGCTCTCTACGACCCTCCGGTTTTTGTTTCGAGGAATGCTAACTCATCCCATCGATTGGAACATCTCAGTTCTGAACTCCATACTCTTTTAGTCAACACCCTTAATGGGCCGAGATGGCAGGCGGATCAACACACCCAATGGGTATTGTCTTTGGAATGGTCAACACTTGACACCATTCACCGCAGGGGTTCCAGGCCGGTCAGTTCCCAGATTGAGGTCAAGAACTCTTTTCACATCGAGGGAATCAAATTTTCAAGTGTGGCCATGTGTCCCAAAGACGCAGTGATCAGCCTTTGGATAGACACACCTGAAGGCAAGGTCAAACAATTTGGTGAAATCCTCAGCATCTTTAAGCATACCAGGAGGCCTTCTGAGCTTGAGGTGGTAACCGGCGATTATCTTCATCTCAAAATCTTCACAGAGGTCCCTATTGAGAAAGGAAACCCCTTCAAAAGATTGAACTTACCAGAGACGCAGGGTCATCTCTGCTACTATAGGGTTCGAACTTCTGTCATGATAGATCCAGCCCAATTCATTGCTCATTGCGGATACGTAAAGTACAAGCCTGGAGAGTGTGATCCACAATGTCTTGTTGAAACAATTGGCCTGATCACTTTGAACTGTGAATGAATGTTTTCATGTATTGAGTTATTTTGTTGAAGGGAATGCATTTTTGGATCTTTTTTCATGAATGCAATTATGACCCTGTTAAATCACTTGTATCTTACCAACATCTAAAAAAGTCTGTGACAGCCCTTACTCATTTTGTACCTCTTGAATCCAAAGTTTAATCTCATAGACTCAAAGACCTCGAAAGAAAATTCAAAGTGCTATGACAGACCAAAAATGAAAATCTATGAGCCTCTAATCCTCTCACAGACCTTTCCAATCTTATCCAAGTTCCCATTTTGATCCTGACAACACCTTCAGTTGCTTCTCGATAAACGTATCAAATCTGTTTTTGAATTTGATCTTTAAACCTCAACACAACAGAATGATCATGTTGTATATGTAGATGACACCCAGAATTTTCAAAATGATTTGTAACAGTCACACGAGTCAAAACCCCGCCTGTTCAGAAAGCTAAACCCAACCCTGCGCCAGAAAATTTGATATTGTGTGCTGCGTGGTGGGATGTTGCGGTCTTTTAGCCCCGTAACGTTACAAAAGTATTGGGAAAATGTTGCGGTCAGTACCGCAAAGTTACAGAATGATTGGATTATGTGTTTTTTTTGCACCGCTAAAAGTCCATTAGTGTTACGGTCCGAGACCGCTAAGTAACAGTGTTGCGGCCCGGGTTACCATATCAATCAGCGCTATTCCCAATTGGGCGATGTACTCTCTCATTACCACCTCACATATCCCTTGGAGTCCAACAATCAATCACCAAATCCCCAAACGAGACGTAACGATGCATTGGTATGTTCTTGAACGTACCAAGCCAGTGGCAGGGGGTGGCAGGCTTGAAAGGTCTACCTCTACCGAGTGAGAGCTTTCCCCCCTCTCTTGTTTTTTTTTCTTTTCCTTCAGTATTTGATTACTAACTTCCTCCTATCCATCCGATCTGAGTCTCAGTCCGCAATCAATTGATATTTACCCGAATCATCACCTTCCTCCTAGTATCACCAAACCTACCCACCATTTACTCGTTTTCTCTGATTCTTACCTACCAGTTGATATTGAATTACCTGGGGTTATCATACAACGTACTACTATTAGTATCACCAACTACAAATCATACCAGCAACGAATCACAATGTCTTCCGAAGTTTCCGAGACTCCATCAGGACCCGTTTGTCATAGACAGCCTGTTATCAACCCCGGAATGGGATCACCATTGGTCGACTCTCGTCGACAATTGAGCGTTGGACTTGACCAACCTACACTGTCAAAAACGAAACGCAAAGGCCGAAGCACTTACGAAGCTAGTGCTAGCAACAATGACTCAGATGCCTCTATCGTCAGTATTCATCCTCAAGGTAAGAAGAAGAAGAAGGTCACTGGCTCTCAATCTTCAACTTGTTGTTTCAAGAAGAAGGATGCACCCAAAGGTCCAGCAGATGAAGAAGTGAGTAGTCAGGTTTTTTCTATCTCATTGCTGACGATATGATATGATGACTGATATCAGCCTCGCTGTTATCAGAGCATCTCAGAAAACATCACACAAACCATGCTACGTGCTGATTCCAATCACAAAGCCTCAGTTGAACAAAACCTAGAAAGCGACACAAGCCAGACAAGGCGGACCCTGAAGTTGAGCTATCTCAATTTTGAGCTTACTTCCATGCTCCTACACATTGAAAGGACGACGTGAGTGGTGACTATTAGTATTACCTCTTTTTACTTCGTTAGGACTGATCATCCAATCATTTGAACAGGACAAGACCAAGCCGCCCTTGTCTTAAGCATGTCGATTTTGCAAGAGAGACGAATCCCACCCTGTCCGAGTTAGTTTAAGTAACCTTACTGGCAACCTTTGCTCCCACCGGGATGGATCCAGTCAGCAAGGTCGATCCGATGTAGGTTGTCCTGGAAGGGTGAAAGCAAAATTGTCAGCTGAAGGTAAAGATTTGAACATACCACCTTCAGTAGCAGAGGTGCGTATGTCAGAGAAGAAGAAAACAGGAAAACTCAATGGGTTTGTCACCACTACGCCTGGAATCAAATTCAACAATGTGACATTCAACCAAATGGTGTCCCTCTGGTTGATTCGTCTTCGTCATGCGTTAACTTGGACTTGTTTTGAGGATCCTTTACTACGATTGATGGTAAGGTACCTTCGACAAGACACCAAGCTTTATGGAAGCAAGTGGGCGGCCTCTGAAGCGCGTGTCATCAACAAGTCGTTGAAAACAAATGTTTTTGAAGAACTCAAAGTAAGTCCTTTGGATCTTTCTTTTTTAATTGTATGCTTATACCGTTGATACTGAGATCAACTTGGACTTTCCAGCAACTCACATCACATTTTAACCTGGTCCACGATGCTTGGACCAGCAAAGGTAACCAACATGGCTTTATCGGAGCCTCAGTCACCTTTGTCGACTCCAAATGGACGTATCATGTCAGACACGTGAGCCTGAAAGTCGTTGCCTGGCACCATCATGGTCCATGGCTTGCCAAACCGATTGTACATCTCTTGGCTAAGCATGGGATTTATCAAAAGATAGGTCTTTTAATTCTTTTATGATAGTCTTCATACCAGTTTTTGATCCCTCTTGGCTTATTAAATGCTGATATTTGTTTGGAAAACTTTCTACATTCTTTGCCAGACTACAGACTCAGGATCCAACAACAAGACAATGGCGCAAGAAATGCATCGTCAGTTTAAGTTACTACCCGAGCCTGAAGGTATCAAGTATAAATGGGACCCTACGAATATGCACATATTTTGTTTTTGTCATAAGCTTGCACTAATTGTCAACGCAGGATTAGCCAAGCTTGGTGTGAAAGCACCACCTCCAGCTAGAGTCAAGTCGGCCGCTCAAGGACATTTCCCTACAATTGGAACAAATGAAGAAGAAGATGAAGAGCCTGAAGATGAGCAACAGCCTTCAACTTCCCAAGAAGATGATGTGATACCTGAACACGAACTTGATGAACTGGAGGAGACGGATCCTTTACCACAGGTCTCAAGTGAAGAGGAGGGTGTCATTGATGATGAAAGTGATTGGGACCGTGCTGACGCTGAGGATGAAGAGATGCCGGCTGTGGTTTTGGAAGAAGAAGTTGCGCCGACACACCGAAGAGAAGCCAATCACGTAGATTTTATCTTACGCAAGGTAACATGTCTTTGCTTTCTATGATCATCATTGTACTGACCCAACCTTACCCAATTTCCAGGTCGACTTTATTGTACGCCGTATCACTTGATATTCGGCATGGCGCAAGGAATTTGCCCGGTTTAGTGCAAAGAAGGGTTTCACCGGTTCCCTCATTGCTGGCTACGGAATTAGATGGAACATAAAGTACAAAAGCAGGCACAAGGCCTGGCTTGCGCGATCAGTTAAGTCATTTTGAGATCTGATCTTTTCTCTTCTTTTTTCTTTCATTCTATCTGTACTAACATTGTTAAATATAGGTCATTGATTAATTGTGTAAAGAAGATCTTGACTGAGTCCTTGCGGTAGGGCGTCGGCCTCGTCAGAACGGGAAGCCGTACGGGTACTTCCATCAACTCGAGATGACCACTGCCCAGTGGGCCCAAGTGCGACGCATCAACGCGGAACTAGAGGTATGTCTACCTAGGCCAAAGTCACTTTTTTCCCCAATGATACTGACCAGAGTTGTTATGTATGTAGTTATTTCTCACTACCACCCTCAAGATGGAAGGCGACGGGCCTACCGGGTGTATGCTGATTCCCGAGTATGTCAAGCTTAGACATAAGCTACAGGGAAAGGTTGAAAAGAGTAGCACCACCGATGTGGTTTACCCAATGCTTGCAAAAATGTTACAGAAAACACAAGAATACCTTGACAAAGCTCTTGGATGTGAAACTTTGGTATTGGCCACTCTGCTTCATCCCCTCTTTCGCCACAAATTCTTCATCAAATGGTTTGGTGGGAAGTCTTGAGAAGTCCCAATCAAAGCCGAAGCCATATTATGTCGACTCTACTCCGATTACAAAATTACCTCACCTCAATTACGATTCCCTGCCAATACCTCAACTGGCACCAGTTCGAATCCTTCTGTGGGCCGCCCAAAGAACTTTCATGACAACTCTGAGGCTGATGAAGAGCCAGCTGAAACAATCAACGCTTCCTTGGATAATTACTTACGCATGTCAGACAAGATGTGCAATACTGACTATGACTTGGAAGACCCCAAAGCGGCTTTACTATGGTGGTCTGTAAGTCAATCTCCAGTTCAACTTCTTATGATGAACATATGCTAATGCTTGCATGTTTAGCGTCATTAGAAGGACTACAGAGTGCTTGCCATCGTGGCACACGACTATTTGGCCACCACGGGATCTTCATGCGCCACAGAGCAAATATTTTCATGTGCAGCTGATGTTTGCGCCAGTGATCGAGGTAGTCTCTTGGCACGTACCATAGAAGCCTTAGTCTCAAGTCGTTTATGGCTGAGGGAGGGTGTGAGTCTGGGAGTTGAATTTTCAGAACTTGCTGTGATTTTGAAAACATTAGGTGTAGTCCTTGACTAAGCTCACAGTACTTAATTTCTTTTTCTTCTTATATTACTTTTCAATTATTTTCATTACTTTTTGGTTTCTCTACACTCATTTAATCTTTTATTCTACTAAACTATTTTCATTTCTTTTTGGTTTCTCTACACTCATTTACACTGTTATTTTATTAAACTTTTATCTTATTTTTTGTTTCTTCACACTCGTTCAAACTTTTCAATACACTCGTTTAAGTCTTGATTATATATTACATAGGTTAGTATTTTTATCATCAATGAAATACATCTTTGTGGCTGCACTTTTGTGTCCATTTTTGGCCGTGTAACAATGTTGCGTTGCGGCACGTTAACAGGTGATAATGAGCGCTTCACGGAGTGCTGTAGCGGCTGTTGCGCTGCTGCTGATTTGCAGTGTGGAGCTGAGCTAGCTTGGAGTGGGGATTGCTGTTGCGGTATGCTGTGTTACGTTGCAATTGTAACGGTCTGTTGTTGCTTGTGATGGAGTCACATTAAATCAAATGGTCCGTTAGTGTGGCATTGTGTAACTGGCGCAGGGTTGGCAACACGACTAAACACTATTTCACTGGGTTACAAATGTGGCACACCCTACACAACAAGACCTTTCCAGTTGTTGAAAATGACAAGGTTTGGCTCCTCTTGCAAGCGGCCAGTAAAACCAAAGTAAAGCTTGTGAACAAAAGAGCAGGTCTGTCCCTCATGGATGTTTGTCTCCTGGTGACAAACTTGAGTAACGTCACAGCTTCGGGTCTAGTAATGAAGGGTGTTTCGTTAGTTGGGTTCTGGGGGTTGACAAGGTTAGGCAAACTCACTCTCAACCACGACCACCCCCTTGTATTTATTTGGCGAAAAGATGTGATCTTCAACGACAACTTGACTCATACGACTATACGCCTTTGTCTGGCAAAAACAGCGCATCCAGGTTGTAAGGTTCTATCAGAACCTTCACTGAGGGTCCGGATTCTTGTCTGGCTCGACTTCTCTTGCGAGAGCACTAACTTAGAACTTCGGTTTCTATTGCCACCTAGCTCCAGAAAGTCCCATATGTGGCTCTCTGAGGAGTCAGTAACTCTAACCTAGAAGAATACAAAGGAAGAGAGAAATAGGATAGAAAGGCTCACCTAGCTCCAGAACGTCCCATACGTGGCTCTCTGAGGAGTGAGGACTCTCCAAAGCCGGGCGTTGAGGAGAAAGGTAAGAAGATGCCTATCTAAACCCATGATACAAATCCCATAACTTCCTGCCTATCCGTGTACCTCTTACACAGGTGAATCACAATTCCTGAGAATCTCCTGTCAACCTAACATTCTAGATCCCGTGGCGGTGCTACATGAATTTCTCTCAAAGGTACGGGGCGATCCAAATGCCCCCCTTTTCCCTTGGGGCAATTGCAGTGGACCAATATCAAGGAAAGTGTTATCAATTTCCTAGCACACTACAAACCGGTTGGGAGTGTCATGTGGTCTGGCCACAGTCTGTGCTTTGGCGGACATTTGCTGAAGGCGCATTTGGGTATGTCAGTACGTGCATTGAAGAGGTCTGGGAGGTGGAAGTCCTCTTGTTACCTTGTGTATGTAAGACATTATACCAAAACAACAGCTGACGAGACAGCTCGTCTGGCGGCAAAGCTTAAACGCAAACACACTTTACGTGTTTGATCAACTTGGTAGCGTGTGCCTTAACATCATGCTGTGAAATTTTTGTCCTTTCCTGGCGGGCTTCAATTGTTGTACTAATTAGTTACCTGCACCTTTGAACATTGTATTGAACTGTTTTCAATTAATTTTTTGTGTGTGTTGGGTGTTAAGTAGTATTTCATGCATCTCAGTATCTCAATATTGGGGACTGAGACCCTTTAGCAGGGTCGTGGTCCCTACCTGCTGAGATCTTGAAGATTTCCTCATTTGCCTGCTTCAGGCTAAGCAGAAGTGCTTCAAAACACTAGGCGTTTCTTACACCCATAGCCCGACAAGCCTCACTCCTGCTCATCAGGAGCAAGTCTTGCACCCACCACCAATACCTAGCGTATTGAATTCTTGATTCCAAGGTGAGAAGGTCATCTCCTTCTTCAGCTTTTTCTCTCTCTCGAGGAAAGAGATGACGAGACACGGAAGTTTTGAAAGCTTCGTCATAAATGTTTACTATTAATGGATACAAGATTTGAAATCATGGAATATTTCCTTCAATTTGCAATGGGAAGTTTAACAGCCAATGTGAAGAGATTTATGAAATTGTATTAAAGACAGAAGAAGTAAGGCAACTTCTGTACTATCAGGTTGAAGTGCTGTAATGCTGAGATGGATTTTGTTTATTCATTTGTTAGATCTTGAAAAACAAAGACATAGTCAACTTTGCAATCTTAATGATATTTTGTAATTAGAACTTGATACAAAGTTGATCAACTAACAATTTACACTTGAATATTTCACATGTTTCCTAACTTTTTGGTTCCCTTCATCTTCATTAAATTTTAAAGTATCTACTTTCACAACTTTCCACTTACAGCTTCAATCCATTTGTTGGTTCTATTGTTGAATCAATCTATCAAACATGTCATTTAGTAACTCAATGGTGTGTGGAGAAGATCACCGCAGCTCAGCCCCTCCACCCAGTATTGGGGACCCTGCTAAAGCCCCTGCTCACCAGGGCTTTGTCAGGGCAGCGCGCACCGGATATAAAGCCGTGGTCCCAGCCATGCCCTAGGCCCCAAAAAATACAACGGGTGTGAGCCCCGCTCTTACGTATGTACAGAAAGCCACTTGCAGATCTTTGACTGACAACACTGCTTTCCTCGAAGGACTTAGTTTTGGGTCTTAGGGTTATGTAGTCAAAGAAGAGGAAGCCCCGACCTAATGGCTTTCTGGAGACCTAACATAGTGAGACTCGACAGGCTTTCCGTAATTTTGAATCTCCTCTTATTCCTTTTCTAGGATTTCCCGGTTCTAGGTCAACCTCCCAAACTGCTTTGGACTTGATTCACCTGAGTCAGTGGGCCTCTGCGCTACTTTTCAGTGGTCAATACGGGTCTTTGCGGGTTCCTTTGGATGTTGTTTCATTGTTTCACTGGATATCTGTTCTTTGTTCATTTTGCTTTCAACCTCCAAAACTGTGATTCACCTGAGTCAGCAGGCCTCTGCGCTACTTTTCAGTGGTCAATACGGGTCTTTGCAGTTCTGGAGGGGGAGCGCCTCACAATGGTAATATGTTAGTGTGTTTCCAAGTTTCCTCACATCCTTCATCAGTCAGTGGCAGCACTGATGGAATCTTCTGTTCATCCACCCAGACCAACAACACCCTCCCAAAATTTCTCACAAGTCTAAGATTATCTTTAACCAATCCTGGAGCTACACTTATGAACTCAAGTTAAGTTACAAACCTTCAACTCCTGCTTCTCACAATCTCTCAGAAACCTTTTGGTCTTATGAAAACTCTGTGAAAACCAACTGAAATCAAATTTTGCAAAAAATCGTTGGTTATGACAAAGATATGTATTGTATCAAAATAGTTCAACATTATTTATGAAAAATAATCCCAAATCAAAAGATAATTATTGTTGAAAATTTGATGGAATCTTGAATTTGCATAGAAACTTCAATGTTTTGAGTTATGAAAAGTGGATTCAATCGGGTTTGAACCCTGATCTGAACAGTGTATCAGTGATACTGAAAAGGGGCCATGGTCTCTATACTCAATACTCGATACTGAACTCATCCCTTTGGACCTGACACCCAAGGCTCTCCAAGGGGCAGATATTAACCATTCAAGATCAGACACTGTAAACATCATTCAACTTCCCCAATTTGGCAGAGGAAAATGATTAATAGTACAGTTTTTCATAAAAGAATCTAATACTGCACACCTGGGCCATTTCACCCACACTACATATGTGCAGCAAGCTAAGTCAATAGTTGTCTATCATGTACATACAGGTCTGCTCAGTTTTTTGCCCATCAGAATAAATAAATCACATGTTATACCACATGTAACTTTTTCGACTTTGAATTTTTTTTCCCAAAAAATTCACTACATATAATTCTGTAGCTGCTCAGGCAATATTGTTGAAGCTATGTCTTAGTAACAGAAAGTGTGTTACATGCAGTTGAGTTGATGAGATCACACCAAAACATTGAGTCAGTGTATGTAGTCAATCTTTTGGAAGCTTTTTTCAATCTGAAAGAAGTTACAGCATGTATTACATATGAATAACTTGTCCTGATGAGCAGATAACTGAGCAGAACTGTATGTACATGATAACCACATATTCACTGAGCCTGCTACACATATGTAGTGTGGGTGTTATGGCTCAGGTGTGGAGTGATAGACCATTTTATGACAAATCATACTCCCAATCATTTTTCCCTGCCCACTTGGGGAACCCGAATAATGTCTGCAGTGAGATTTGGTGTATTCTTGTAATACTTTGGAAGCTGAATAATAATTATGACAACTTTTTTGATTTTAAAATTGATTTCCACTTCAATTGTGATATAGTAAAAGCTATATTGCATTAATTTTATGAAAAGTATTACTTCTAGCATTGATTAGCTTTGCATATTTATATGAGATCAATTCATATATTGTAAAAAAAAATTGAAAAAATTCCATGACAAAAGTGTGAAATTATTATAGAAATCTAATTCAAAATCACAGCCAGAATCAAATTTTGAATCAAAGCCAAAACTAATTAATAAATAACATTGAGAAGATCTTAAAATATATCTTCACACTAAATCTAGATTATATTCTACAGATTAAGCATGAAAAAATCAAATATTTGAAAATAAAAAAGTATCCCAATGTAGCATAATAATCAATTCAAGTTGTATATAGGCATTGTTGAATTCAAGAAGCCTTGGACTTATATATTTTCAATTTTTGTTTTATCAAAGCCAGAATATCAAAATTTTTGTTACAAAATCAATCATATTAGTCATCATTCAAAATACTATAAGGTATAAATCAAGCTGATATAAATTTCTCATCTAGATTGAGCTGGTTCATCAAAGTCAGAGTCAGATGACACAGTTTCATCTTTATTGCCTTGGCCTCAAAAGCTATCTTCCTCAGAATCTGAGTCTGATGAATCTGGTGAGCTGGTCTTTTGTGTGTCATAATTTTCACAAAGGCGCTTGGCCGAACAGAGTGAGGTCTGATCTGATTGCTTTGGGGGAGGTGCAGGTGAAGCTTTCTGTTGACGTAGGCATTTAAAAGAATGTACAGAGGTCTTGGCTGGTTGATTGGTAGAGCCAACGGCAGGTTTCCTGGTTTGACAAGGAGGCATCTCTGAGTTAGCAGTGTTGGTCAACGTAATTTGAGTTTGATTGTTGATGACAAGTTGTGATCCAAGTTCTTGACTTGAGGTGATGGTTGATGATGAGTTTTGATTTGAGTTGTCGAAGTGTAGCTGTTCATTTCATTCCTCCAAGTGGTGAGACATATCTGAGGGGTTAATAGGTTATTAGGTTCAGAAAACTACTGTTACATTTACATAACACATCTGAATTTTGTGCTTATACATGCTGTGTGATGTCTTTACGTGATATGCGTGAGGATAGAGTGTAAAGACGTGAGTGGTAGTGAGTCAACCCACTGTCATGGGTATGAGATGAAGTTGTGTGACAGTGCGTGGAGGACATGCACAATGCATGCAAGTTGTCATGAGTGAAATGTGTGAGAGATGGTGGTGAGTATGTAAATGTTTCATATATGTGTCTTTCTTCTGAGGGTACGGGATGATGTACTGTTGTTTGATAATGTGGGTGGATATAGTGCGTGAGTGACGTGAGGTGTCAGGAGTAAGATGTGTGAAATGAGTACAAGAATACGTGTCTCATCCGCTACTTATCAGCTGTTTATCAGCTATTTGCCAGCTATTAATCTGCTCTTCTTTGGTTATTAATTGGTTGTTAATTGGTCATTAATTCACTATTAATTATCTATTAATCTGCTATCCATTGGTTATCAATTGATTATTAATCAGCTATTAATCAGCTATTCATTCACTAATAATCAGCTATTAATATGTTATCAATTGGTTCTTGATTGACTAATAATTGGTTATTAATTGACTATTGATTAGGTATTCATTGGAGTCCCTTGATGGGTCACTATGATGTGGTACAACGCACATGTCAGTGTGTTGACTACAAAAGCTACAAATCACCAACCATTTGCTTATCAATTCCAAGCGGGCAATTGGGGCACTTTGCACCTTGCATCAATTGCTACAGATGGCATTCAGTTTCTTGATTGACTTGTAATCACTGCTTACAACTGTACTCACACATCTATCCAATTTTTTTGGTGGCTCTTGAGCCTGTGGTTCCTTCTTAACAATTTTGGAGGTGGCCCTACATTTTTCTTGGTTGATCAGCTGATAAATCATTGTACACATATAAAGTCTGTAACTTGTGGAGGTATATGACAAAAGGTGGCCTTGTGTTGTACTCCTCCCTTTTGGGGAGATTTTGTCTTTCTCTTACTGATGATATAGATGGATTCATCAATGTCTGGATCCTCCCCTTCAGGGATGATTTTGCCACACGATTGAAACAAAAGACATTGGATTCATCCCATGGGGCATTATATCATGCCTTGCTGTTTGGGATTATACATATAGATACCAAAATGACTGTACACTGTCATTGAGGGGAGATGATTGACAAATTTCTCCCCATTGGGGAGGATTGAGATGTCTAATTAGATGATTTGATTGAGAGATATGGATGGAGGAAGAAGATGAATTGATGGAGGATGATGTTGAGGTGGATGGATGGAGGAAGGAAAGTAGATGGATGAAGTGAAGACAAGCTGAGTGGTCTAATACACTCACTTGAATCATTGGGGAATTGGTGTTCTTGTCTGACAGTGCAGGGCCGTGCGGTGTGCGCCTGTACAACAACTGTTTTCAATATCTTTTGAAAGTCTTTGTGTGTGCACGTAGACATGCTACACAAAATCTTACATGGTGCAGAGAGATGTTGCTCATTATATTTCATAAGGGGCCTCTCCAGGGTTGTGTTCTCTGAAGGTGATAAACATTTCCTCTTGTGTGAATGGAAGCCAGTTACCTTGGTGGCTCCGCTCATACCAGTATCTGACAAAGTTGAATAAAATGTTGATATTAGTGATTACTTTTCTAAAGGAGGCAAAGGTAGATGTGATTAAATATAATCTTACTTTGGCCACAGGTATATTGAACATCCTCTTTGTGAGGTTGAACTGAAATAGTAAAATCTTGAAGTAGCCTTGCGTTTATTGGTATTGGAGTTCTGCAAAAGGGTTGATTCTTGGCGCTTGATAGGCTCAACTAGCTTGTCTGAATCTCAGAGGTTGTCCTATTGCATTCATGGATAAGTCAAACATACCAGATAATCAAACATATGAAATAAGGAAGGTTCAGTAGGAGACAGGAGTGAGTCAGAGCCAGTGATTAACTGGTGGATTTGCAAGGAGCTGAAACTACACCTGATTGCAAGGACATGTGATATGTTTGAACATGGCTTTATCTGTGTCCGCCTGGACATTACATATATAACAAAGAGCTTTGATACAACACGGGTTTTCTCCTGAATTAACAGCATCCTTGCACAAAACGATTCCTCAGAGGTCTTCACATGGATCAGGTGTTTGAACCAGCTCAGGGGTAACATTTTTTGGATCCATGACAAGACTCATATCTACCCAAGTTGTAGTAAATCAAAATTATTGTATATAGACATAAAGGGAAAAAGAAGAAAGGAAAAACTCACCTGGGGCAGCTTGATTGCCAGGGGAAAGCTCTATTTGAATCCTGTGCAGTAGCTGATTGAGGGGATAGAATCAAAATTGTTATACATAGATATGGAGAGGACAAAAACAAAGGAAAAACTCACCTGGGTCAGCATGGTGGCCAAACGGCAAGTTTGGCAGGGTCATGTGCAGTAGCTGGTTGAGGGATGACCTCATGCATATCTAGCCAAGTTATAGAAAATCAAAATTATTATAAATAAATATGGAAAGGAAAAAAATAATCATATCAGCATCAGCATGGTGGCTGAGAGAAGGGGTCATGGAATTTGATGTCTTGTCCAAATCCCACATGATCCAATCTCCGCCCAGATGGGTAGGTGATGCAGAAGAAGTTGTATTACTAGCTGGCTTCCAAATTTCTAGATAAGTATTTAGATCCCAGCATGTAGGATGCACCGCTGAAAGGGAATTCAATACATTGATGTGGCAATGTGTGAATGATAATCTACCAGATCCAGCCTGATACGCCAATGTATGACACAGCTTAAGGATCCCTAGACCAACCCTGGGGGCCTACAGGGGATAAAATGAAAGGTCAATATCCTGGCTTATCATCAGATATGGCAAAGAATGATACAGACCATCACACTATTGTATTTCACAAAGGCAAACCACATTGAAGCGTGTGAAGTTTGATCCTTGATTAGTATTATACTTCTATTGAGTTGGAGAAAAAGCCAGTAGCTGGTTGTGATAGATGAGTAGCAATGTCTTTTCCAGTAGCATGCATATCTATGCCTCTCAATAGTATCATCTCAGATGGAGTATCAACAATATGGTCCTTCCAATCATTTGTTGACATTGTGATAGGAGATTTTCCATTGGTTGGACTATGTTGAATCTTGATTGAGTGTTCTGAAGTTGGTGGTTGGAAGTTCCAAAGTTGCTTAGGAGCATGAAGATGAACAAACTCATTTGCCAATTGCTGATTCTTAAACTTAGGACACCCAACCCGGCTTTGATTATCTGGAATTCAAGGTGGAAATGTTAGAATTTCTACTTTACAACCAAGTCGACTTATAACTGCCTGAAAATTGACTTCCTCAGTGTCATATGGTATGCCAATGAAGAAAACTGAGTATTTTTTTGTTTGGATATGGCTAGACTGAGGTTCAGTAAATAGCTGATTTGAATTATTCATCAAAGTACTCGGAGAATTCAAGATGGCTTGTTGAAGATGAATGATGAGATTGAGTTGTGGTAGTTGAAGAGGTGAACCAAGTAGATTTTGAATCTAATTGAAAATTGGTAATCAATCAGCAATAAAAAGGATGATATGACAAAGTCCTTTCTAGATTTGGGTCTGAGAGGTTAAAAGAATACTTGAAGAAGTGAACCAAGTAGATTGTGAATGTATTTGAAAATTGGTAATTGATCAATGATAAAAAGGATGATATAATGAAGTCCTTTCTAGATTTGGGTCTGAGAGGTCAAGGATCTAGGGCACATGCCTGGTGAAATTGTTTGGCGTGTACCAAATATAATGATCACATGTGTTGCTCATGTTGGAGGCTTAATTGGCGGGTATAAAGTATGAGCATGTCGGAACCATATTCTGAAGCACGGAGCAGTGGAGATGCATGTCATTGTGAGTTTGGGTAGGTTTGGGTGATTTTGGGTGCATTGAAATCACTGATTTAAATGTTTGCCATTGATTGTGGCACTTGTGCATGAATTGTGAGCTGGATGTTTCTGGTGGATTGATCTGCATACAGTTGACTCCCTTGAAATCCATACCTTTTTATGGACCCCAGTTGCTATGGATTGTGTTTCGAGGGAGATGCTGGTTCTGATGAAGATTCAGGTTTCATAGTGGATAAGAAGATTGGGATCAGTTTATGAGGTGAACAGCCAACAAATGCGTATACTTTCATTAACTTCATTTTCAAACTGTGAAATAGCTTTTGGATTTTGAAAACCAAAAATATACTTCAATTTTTAAAACGCATTCAAAATCAATTTGCAATTTACAACTTCAAAGAAATCAAAAAGATAAAAATTAAAATCAAAATCATATCAATCCCTTAATTGGTCAAGAAGTAAGTACAGAAATTAGATCATTTTCATTTCATTAAGAAAACCTTTTGAACAAAATTTAAACTAATGAATTTTCTTCATTACATCAAATATTAAAATATAATTTCAAATCATAAGTAGAAATCATTTCAAAACCAAAAAACATTTTAATTTTATATCAATTCAAAACCAAAAATTCAAAGCTACACATTTCAAAATTCATTTCAAGACTATCAAAAATAGAGAGACATTTATCAAATTCAATTTTAATAAATATAATCATAATCAAAGATCACTGGTATACAAATTCATAAGATAACAAATTGAAATTTATTCACAAGTTGATATTTTAGATTGAATCATGAGAGTAACATATGATACACCATGTCATTTTATTTGTAAGAAATGTTTGAACAAGAATTCTGATCTTGAAGAGGCTGCTTCAAACTGTAAGCGTGAAACAGTTTACATGTCATGTGGTCCTTGCAAGAACAATAAGTCTAAATGGTGGGCTTCTGATACTCGTGAGTCTCTATCTCTTTCAGTTTGCTTTGCTGATTTATCACTGATATATTTTGATACTTATGAACAGCTTATCCTGAGGGTCATCAACATGCATATCAAGGTGAAATCAATGATTTAGAGCAACAAGTGGTGCATAAAACAAAGAGTGAGGCTAAGGAGGGTTTAGAAGAAGAAGAAAAATTACCAAAGGTGGATAAAATAAAGGGAAAGAGGAAGACAATAGAATCTTTAGGAGATAGTGATGATAATCATAGTATTCAAAGGAAAGACAAGAAGCAGAAAATAATTTCCAATGCTAGTAATTCAAACATTCATCTTATTCTCAATGCACTTGACCAGATGGAAGGACCTTCCAATGCTATACTGGAAGAAAACAACATGAGCAAAACCACAAATAGAACTTATAATTATGCTAAGAATAATGAAGTTAATCATGAACTTGATGAAAATTCAGTAGGGTGTCTCTTTAAATACTTTCAAGATCAGAAGGCCAATTATCCACATCAATCAGAAGTTGATCAATACCAATCACAATCTGATCAAGAATTACAATTTGATGATATCATCAATTTTGAAACTCACACACAACATGAATTAGATAATCCAAATGTTTCAATGAACTTTTATACTGATCATGATCTTGTTGAAAGTCATACATATTCAGCTATGGATATTGATCAGAATGAACATGTACAGAATACTGCAACAAACCAACTCAAGATGGATTTAACTCTGGAAGATGATACTATTGGTCAAGTTTCTCAATCAGACACCACATCCATTCCTCCTCCTTCTATCCCATTTTGCTTATCTCCCCCACTCTTTTCTGGGTTAGGGTTAGGGTTACAAGGTAGTCCCAGGATCAGGGTTGAAAGTGCATGCACCGCGCATATTGGTGCATGCACTTAGGGGCATGCCTGGCTGTGCATGGTGGGGTCATAGGTGCATGGGTGCATGAGGGCATGGGGCATGTATAGTATAAAAGAGTTAGACCCACGACAGCCAATGTAGGCAAAGCCAAAGGACCCCATTGAGAGCCAACACAGAACGGGTCCTCAATGTTGATAGGAGGAGTCAAAACCTTAGGGTTAGGGTTATTCGGATTTGGATTTGAGGATGACTGAACAGACAATGATACCATACAAAGGTTTGAAATGAAAGAATACTTCAATCAAGTAAAAAAAATTGAGATTAGGTGCTCATAACCTGTTGGACTGAAGCCAAAGCAGAAATCAATCTTAGTACAAGATAGAAAGAGAAAATCAAAAGAAATCTTATAGTAAGATTGAGATGGATACAGTCTGATGAATAAGGAAGAAAAGAAAAGAAAAAACTGTAACAGGTTCAGGTTTTAAAGCAAAAGAAAACACTATAATGAAATGACGTCATGAAACTACAAAAAGAGAACAAAATGAAATGATGTAAGATTGTAATGATAATGGAAATAAAAAAAATGTCTTTAAAACAAAATATGTTTTGATAAGATACATATGGCTTTTGGTAGCAGATAAAAAATACAGAACAAAATCCAACACTTTGGCTGCTTTTTGGCCTATTAGGCTACACAGCTTCATCTCATTTTATATACTGAGCACCCAAATAGCTTGTTCACTGAGGATTTAATTGAGCTAAGTCCAAGGCTCACAGCCAAGCCCAATGCTCTCTTCCATTTCACATTGAGACCATTACAAAGGTGGGGTTTGAGGAACAAACCTTACTCTGGAAGATAGGCCAAGTCTTCTTTTGAGATGTCTATAGATGCTCTTACCTTCTCACCAATCACCCTGAATTTTAAAGAAGTACAGTTATCCTCACAATCATCTGGTCCAGCACAACCTTCAACTACCATCAATACTCCGCAAGCTGAACCCCTTCCTGTTATGGTACAACCTGAAGAGAAAACAACTCATAATATTCGGGCTACTCTGTCTGAATCACATGGTCACCTGTTACCTCTTTCCTTTAGCACAGATACTCATGGAATGCGAGAGGTGTCAAGGTGACAGTGCAAAAATCAAAAAACGAAAATCACAATTCCCGGGTGCGAAATTCAGATACTGAAGACAAAACTACAGAAAATGCTCAAATACAGGGCAAAAACCCCCGTACTGGAGTCAAAACCATGGCAGAAACCCCTTTCAGACCAGGTTACAGCCCAAATTTCAATAGATTTACAGCTTGAAATTCAACATTTGTCACCCCATTGTTGCATTAACACAAAAAGTACCAGGAAAACCACAAAAGAGGAAATCAAATTTCAGAGATTGAAAAAACAAAAGTCAAAAAACAAAAAGCAAGTGTTGATAATCAAAAAACAACAATCAACAAACCATAAACAAAGCCCCCAAACATGAAAACTTCACATTAGATGATGAAAATTGTACAAACCACCTCTCTACCTCTCATCCAATCACACAACCCACACACCATCACCAATCATCTGAGTCATTCTTCCAACTTTTGTCATAGTCTCCACCCATCCACTTGTTCAACAAAACCTACACTACGCTGAGCTTCCTTGATTGTCTTCACTCTTCTTCATCCTTATTTGATTATCTTCACTCTTCTTCATCCTTCTTTGATTGTCTTCAATCTTCTTTGATATTCTTGGATTGGCTTCACCCTTCTTCAATATTCTTGGATCAGCTTCATTGTTCCTTAGTATTCTTCGATTGGCTTCAATCTTCTGTAATCTTCTTTGGTCGTCTGATACAGGATTATGTAGAAGAAGAATAGAAGGTACACAAGATATTTCATTATATGGTCTTTAATCAAGTGAGATATTGCATGAGAAGTATTGATATGTATTTTTAGATATGACTATTCTAATGAAATACAATAAAATAGATTCATGAAGATATAACATTCCACAATCATTTTATACCTTAAAAGGATACTCAAGAGGTGACTACTCTTTTTTCTTCTTTTTTTTTCTTTTTTTCTTTTTTTTTTCTTTTTTTTTTCTTTTCTTTTCTTTTACTTTCCTTTTTTTCTTTGCTTTTTTCTCTTTCCTTTCCTTTTCTTTTTTCTTTTTTTTCTTTTCTTTTTTTTTCTTTTATTTTCTGTTTTTTTCTTCTTTTCTTTTTTTTCCCCTTTTTTTGGAATGGGTCTTGGATCTGGATACTTCTGTATCATGCTCTATGTTAAACCGCCACAAAGGCATCCTTGATTAGCATACCTTGATGAAGCATGACTTGACAAAAAAATCCATCTCAGAACAAGTGAAACTGAGATGAAATGGAGTTCTGTGGGTGGTTTTTGCGTCTGACGCACCAGCCCCGCTGTACCAATTGGAGTGATTCTATAGCTATACAGGCATAACTTGTGAACATTTGTTTTTAGACACTTATATAACTATGGAATACATAATCTGAACACTATACGGATTTACTTTTACGACTTAGCTTGGGCGGGTGGGAGGTAACAAATTTTATCTCTGAAGAATTTGTTTTTTGTAACCATGTAGAGAGAAAACAAAATCAGGATGATGATGATGAATTTCTTTCAAATTTTTGAGAGAGGAGAAATTCTGATAATGATGATTTGGAAAACTAGGGACATTGCATTCTTCATTGCAACTCCTAGACATCCTATCACCATCTCTGACATCATATGCTCATATCACCTTTGATATAGGATAATGATGAACTTTGTCTGAGAGGAGATGATGGAGTCCTGTGACCCGGTTACTACATTACCCAATCCGCATTTGAACCATTCCCATTGATCAATACACGTACCAATGATTCTTTTTTTTCTTTTTTTTTCTTTTTTTTCATTTTTTTTTCATTTTTTTTTCTTTTTTCTTTCTTTTTTCTTTCTTTTTTTTTTCTTTCTTTTTTCTTCTTTTTTCTGTCTTTTTTTTCTTTTTTTCTTCTTTTTTTTTTCTTGATCCTTGATACAATGGCCTTTCCGATCTACAGCTTGGATTTGTCCATCTTGGTATAGCTCAATAAGTTTAATTTGAAATTTGTGTGAAAGGCTTGGATCCAATAACATGGTTCAAGTTAGAGAAAGCTAAAAATTTTGATCTCTACCTGTATCAAAATACTACTTATAATCTTGAAACCATTCAAAAAGTATGAGAAAGCACTATCAACAAAGTATGTTATAATTTTTTTTGTAGAATAATTAAAGTTTGAAGGACTAGGAGGATGAAGCACAAAATATATTGGGTACTTTTTAGACAACTCTTGCCGTCGTTATAGTTTACAGCCATCATGGAGATCAGAATCATTGACCATGTAAATTTTTCACTTAGGAATTTCAAAGGATAAATTTCACAATATATATATACATATTCCTTTAAAAAACTTCAGGTATGAATTTTCCTATATAAATCAAAAATTCAAAGAGTAATTCAATGACTAGAGAAAAGTTCTCAAACCATCATGATAGGTAAGAGAGTAATTTCTGAGCTACGTTAGAAAGCAAAGAACTTGAATGAAATAATGATTAAAGGCCAACGAACTATATGATTAAGATGATTACTAGAGCTAATGAAGACTTGAAAATATAGATTTCAGTATAATGAAATGATTTTTTCTGGTGATTCTGATGTATATGTGATGAAAGGAACTTATTGTATAATCAAGTATTGAAGTCATAGTTTTTAAGATTATAATTCAAATGAGATGGCATAGAGAAGTTGAAATGATATAAAAATAAATGTAAGAGTAATGACCTTTTATTTGATAATAGACTAAGAACATAGTAATATATTCAGTAAGGATATGTCTTCCATGTTATCTATATTTCGATAAAAGGACTTACCAAAAAAACCTTCATGGATAACTTTAGAATTAGCAAGGAATTTTTTTAGTTATAGGTAGATAAAAGTCTATGGACTTCAACAGGGAGAACAGGGAATGTGAAACCTACTTGATACTTCTCAGTCTAGCATTAACCCAAAATCCCGATTTTGGAGTCTTGAGAGGATACTTTTTTTTGTCTTCCGACATGGATCATCTTTTTATATGTTGGAAAAGCAATTGAGATGTTTGACATCAAACCATACAGAAACCATTGTTGGACTCAACCTAAAAACGTAGAAGAAGAGAGGGAGGAATTAATATATTGAAGCACTTTTTAACTATACCGCAGTATCCTTATACTAACAAAAATATTGATGCCACAGAGTATTTCTTATAAGATAGAGGGAATTTAGAAAGATTATTGATGATAAGTAATCCTATTGCTTATAAATAGTAAGAAAATTATCTTACTGCTTCCATTGGAATAGATTAATTGATGGATTGAGTTGGAATACACCTAGAGAATACAAAGAATAATGGATAAGAAGCATTTGTCAATACCAATTCCTTACCAATAAATCTAGTTCAAAGAGAAAAGGATTGTATTTATTTATAGGCCTACTGGTTCACCATTGGATTCAAGCTTTGATTAATCCAAAATTAAAGTTCAAATTCTTTTTTTGTCTTATTTTCTATATCCGTTTATATCATGAAAACCTTTCCAAAAGAATCTTTAATACAGCTTTTTGAAAACAAATATGGATGTTTTTATTTTTTATTTTTTATTTTCATATCCGTTTCAATCTGGTGGAAAAAGTATTGAAATGGCTGATGATATGGCTTGGGCTTGAATCATATTGCATTCCCGAAGCCAGCTTCAACCCATGATGTGAAAGCTTCAGTCTGCATGAGGTCCATTTCTGATCCCAATCAGACTAAATAACCTAGATGGGTGGTATATCAATTGACAGTTGATATGAAAAAAAATCAAAAATAATACTAGTGAGATTTGTTTTCAAAACAGCTATCTATACCTTTAATATAAATTAAGAAAGAACCTTCCCTAAGACCTGAGCTTTTGTACTTCTGTGGCTTTGCTTTAACCTTGGTAAATATATGTATATTCTTAGATAGATACAACAACCGGTTTAAAGTTTGCTTGCAGTATATAATTGAAAGTTGAAGGCTTAAATCCTTTAGGTCAAAGCTGAAAGCCCAAATGTGAAAGCCGAAAGCCTATACCACAGGAGCCCCATGACCGACCGAAGGCCGCAAAACCAGCCAGGCTGGAGACGGTCTGTTTGCCTGCAGTGGAGGGCGGCATTGATCTCGCCCACTGAGCCATTGGCTGGCAGGCAATGTAGCCCGCGGACAACTGGCGGTCCGCCAGGCGCCTTGCGAGCACCTTCATTCTGCTTTGGGACGACTGAGGGGCAGGCGATCATGCCGCGGTTTAGAACCAACCCACGTCAGATAGCGCAACCCAGCCACGCTACTCCGCCGAGGCCGGGGGGTGAAGCATTCCCACCGGACGCACACGCACACGCTCGGTCATGCCGACGCAGTCAACAAAGGTTGACACGGGCTCAGCACAGGCACAGTATCAAGGATGGGAGGTCACATATATATTTGTTTTCAAAAAAGAGGTGAAGAGGAAGAAACACAATTTTGAAGATCATCATGTACTCCATCCATTTTCCTTTTGTAAATTCACGTGTATCTTCATATCCCTTCTTTGTAAACCATTCATGGTCAAGATTAATCATCAAATCATTCCAAAGAATCGTTAGTATGGTTGAGCGTTAATTTTGTGAGTTTGTGTACCTAACCCGCCTGACTTGCGTTCTGGGCGGGTTGAGCCATCCAAGCCAAAACGGCCTCCTCAGATGGTAAATCCAAGTTGATTTTTGCGAGGAAGCCTCATAATTCTAAAATATACACCTTCATTAGTTTGCATTGGTAACTGATTATTGTGATGAACCCATCAAAGATTTTAGTATCTGATGATTCAAACTCAAACTTGTCAAACAAAGCACTCTGTAGTATCAATGAGTAAGTTCACATCATTCAAAAATTGTACATGGGATAAAGACTAATCATTATCATATATGAGTCCAGTTCTCTTGGTTTTTGACTTTTTGTCTGGTGGAAGATCTTATCAGACTGAAGCTGATCACATCAGATTCCACAAACAACCATTGGATCTGTTCCTGTTGAAACTGTAGCAATAGCACAACAGCAGAATGGCATTGATTGTGGCCTTTATCTCTTACATAGCTTCAAGACTTTTTTCAAGCACCCAGGCAGTATGATGGAATGGATTTTGGTCAGTTTTCTCCCATGGCTATTCCAGAACTGCTTGGTACTGACCATTCTGTACTTTTAGAACCACCCAAGCTGCAATGAACCCTTCAGAAACAACAACAGTATTGAGATTGAGAGACAATGGGACACTGAGGATGTTAAAGTTTCTCAACAGTCAATGATGAAGCTGATATTGTCAATTTTGCCAGGATATCAAGCACATCTCAATCATCAGACAAAGAAATCTCAGACATCTAGAAATCAGCAAAATACTTTGCAAGCAGACACTCCAGAACCCAATTTCCCAATTGGCCTTGTAGGACACAAACCATGGGGTTTGGAAAAGGTACAGTCAAGAGATGAGACCAAAGGAAAAACAAAATCTGACATCACTGCAAAACAAGAGATCAAGAAACCCAAGTTTCCAATTGGCTGTGTAGGACACATACCCTGGGGTATTGAAAAGTGACAGTTGTTGTTATTTTTCTAAGTATTCAAAGTATTGTTCTGATCAGTAAGATTTTATGGTTTTCATATCTATATTCCTCTCTTTGTAAAATTGTGCTCAATTCCTTGCTTTTTGTTTCTTACAAAGGTAGAACAGATCATTCTGTTTTGTGTGAATCTCATATGTTGACCATCATT